TACTTGTCGGTAGGATACTTTATAAAACAAGGTAAAATTTTTTTCTTATGTTTTTTTATTTTTACACACATATTTTGGTTTATCTTCCTTCTACAACATTTATCTGAAAATTAATGACTCAACTTCAAAGTATAAAAGAAGAATATTGTCAAATTTAAAAACAGATCTGTGACGTAAACCTTTGTAAGCTCTTCAGTACCTTTTATGGATTTTGGGAGTAGAATTAACGCTCAGGAATATATTGATTTCCGTGTGCTACTACAGCACTAATGGGGCTTTGTGTTAGATTCCTGATCTACACAGATAGAGTTTTTTTAGTACAATCAATCGATGATACTATTTTTGTATGTATGTATTACATCACTTGTATAGTGTTTCTATGTAATTGGATCTTGTATCTGTTGAGAAATATATATGAATAAAATAAATAAAATAAAACCGGATGACCTACGTATTCAGAATATTAGACGCGTCCTTTCAAATCCCGTGTTAACTCCAACTAGCAATTAGGATTATCCTTGCACGATTACCGTTCCAGGATGGAGTAAATTTCTCGACTAGATTTTATACCAGTTCCGCGCCAGGTTCCGCTAATGGTCTCCTGCATACATACGAATGCTCCTAAATGTTAGCCTAATTGTTTTCCCTACTAGTTTACACTACCTTCAACTTTCAAAGAATGGCGCGGATGAAGGTTAGGTTAGTGTGTTAATGAAAGCTTACACAAAGTGCCTTAAAGTGGTCCTGCCAGTGGTGGAACTTCTAGAGCAAGATAATTATATAGGGCTACCTTCAAAGATCTGTATGTTGACAGGAGCCATATTTGTTCATTTTTTGAAATAACCTTACTGCAACTATATATTATGAAAATAGGTGATAGATGAGCTCGTTTATGAAGGTTTCATGATCGTTAAGACTCTCATTTTGGTGGGTTTGTTTATGGTTGCAGAAGATTTAGAAAAATGAAGTCAAGTAGATGAATCTATACTTTCCATACAATTCTGTCAACAACTATAGTAACTAGACGACAGTACGTTCACCATACATACAAATATTTGCCTTAGATTTTCTGTAAATCAAGCTACTGACTTATAAACCACCTCCACCTCATATAAAGATGTTCTGAGAATTAACATACCAGTATACTATTATTCCAACACGCACGTACAAAATTTCACATGTATGCTGAGTTTTGCTTAGACTCAAAAAGGCCATTCATTCAATTTTTTATACTAACGGTTTTCTGTCCTGCCGAACATGTAGGTGGTGCCGCTAGCCAGGTAACCAAATTTCCCAAACATGCAAATTGGCTGTCAATTACTAATGCCATCAAAGGGACATAATGTGGTCGGAAGTTTATAGCTTCACTCAAAAACATGTTGGTAACAGTTTCAAGCGTACGAAGTTGTTGGTAGCAGCTAGTGCAAAATAAAACGTCTGTATCGCTTGACCATCTGAGGCTCAGTATGGCGATAACACGCCGAGCTGTTGCCGACTTGACGCTGACGGTGGAAATTTTGGTACTTGCCACGACCAGTTAAATGCTTAATTGACGGCGAGTTCGTGGATAAAACTATGCTTATAACCTTTCTCGGGTATCATTCAATAAACGTACAAATGTTTACGTCTCTCCCTCTTGTGATTTACACGTGAAGCTGGCAAACTGGACATATATCGAGACTAGAGTAAGCCTGCGACTCCGCGCGCGTGAAAGTGGTGTAAATATGTTAATCGTTTTGCATTAGGCTGGAGGAGATTGGTTTCGGAGAAAGAAATGCAATATTGAAAGTAATTCAGTAGTTGCTTTGGCGATGAACATATTTTATCCAACGTTTTGAGGCAACAATCAATCAAATTCAATGTTTCGCATTTTTATGTCATTCACAAAAAGTAGGAAGTCTACTTTAAAATTTATTTGACCTTAAAACTTCACACATCATGTTTCGTCTAGAAACGTATTTTTCGAGATTTTTTGTCTGTTCCCTACTACTAACAAAAATAGGGGTTTCACTTAAGAAAGCTAACTTGTCCTTCAAATTACCTTGAAGGTCGTAGACAAGGTCACATTCAAGATCGTTATTAGATGGATCTTTTTAAACCATACAGCCTTGTTTCCACAACATTTTATTTCGGGAAAACTAATTTTCGAGATATTTTGATATATCCATGTTTTCTGAATATATTTATAAAGCCCTACCTACAATTTCCCTCAAATTTCAATTAGTGAGGATACAAATTTCTATGTCTCTCTATGTATTGCGGTTCAGACGTGATGCTGACAGACTGACCTGACATTTATACACGGTGTCCAATAAGTTCCACGACAAACTTGAGGAGAAGGAAGGCTTTGGGATGACCTCCCAAATAACAAAAAACAAAAACTTACCTATATAAAAGTGTCACCGTTTTTGAGATATTGAATTTTTTCTTATATTTTAAAAAAACGAACCTTTTCATCTGTGGTCTTTAGCTGCATGTACAAATAAGGTTATACTTTGTTCATTTTTTCTATAGAATACTTCTAGATGAATGCTTTATCATATACAAATGCAATATAGTTAAAAGATATAAAGGAACCAAGATAAAATAAGGACTGTTTTGAGATTTATAACCTTCTGATATTGTTTCCTCAACTTTCATAAAATCATATCAGGAGCAGGTAATAATAATGTAGCTTTGTACTATTTAACATTTCACTGACCGGTAACCAGTGCAACTTGAATTTAAATCCAATAATTACATTGTAGTGTCTTACAAAGTCACTTACAAAAGCAGCACTTTTTTCTATTCCAAATGGTACGTGTAGTGTCTTCCTGAAGTCTGTATTCAATGAGCAATCTTTTTATTCAATATAATGCAGTTATAGCCCAGTACATTTTTGTTTCACCACAGATGATCAAAGTGGAGAAAAAAATATCAAAATGTTTTAAATCCCAAATTAGTCTTTATTTGATCATGGTTCCTTAATATCTTTTAACTATATTGCATTTTTATATGATAAAGCAACTATCTAGAAGTACTTTATAGAAAAATGAACAACGTATAAACTTATTTGTACATGCAGCTGAAGACCACAGATGAAAAGGTTCTTTTATTTTTAAATTTAAGGAAAAATTCAATATCTTAAAAATGGTAAGTTTTTTATAAAGTTTTTGTTATTTGGGAGGTCACTCCAAAGTCTACCTTCTCCTTAAGTTTGTCGTGGTACTTATTGGCCCCTTATATACATAGAATGCGTATAACATAAGTGGGTTACTTTTGACCTTAGCGATGGAGCTAGCAGCTGGACAACTCATTTACTAGAGCAACAAGCGGCAGCGGCACCAAAGCATTTACCGTTTGGCGGTATTAGTTGTTTGGAAACAATCGACCTCGTTTAACACTTGTGCTACCACCATCAGATCATAAGTCTCACAACGCGACGACGAATATCCTTCATGGTAAAACGTTACAACTCGGACCCCTACAACCCCCAATTTTCAACACACTCAAAATATCTCTGACAGTGCACTGAAGTGCCAAAAAACAAGGTTAGAAAATTTTTTATTCCGTACCTGCGACACCACTGTATCGATTTTCTAAAGACAACGCTTTTTCATCCTTGGTGTACCAGTACCTTAGGTAAGCAGACTGACGGACAGACCGTCAGACAGACCATCGGAAATAACTGAGATGGGTTTTTGAGATGTATATCATCCTGAAAACATAATATCTCATTTTAGGAACCCTTTGCGATTACAATACATCCTCGCCCATTTGTGCGAGATGTAAAAACTGGGAAAAGTAGGGAAAAAATCAACGTTTTTTTCGAAATTCTGGATCTTGTTCAATTTGGGCGTAGTCCAAATCTTCCAGCTTTTTTAGTCTAGATCTGTCGACCACCACCCTTTGAATTCGGAGCCATTTGACTGAATGGATGAATAAAGAAACTAGAGGCATACCGGCCTCCACGAGGAACTGGGACATAGGCCACACAACTGGTCCCTATGCACCACTACATTCCCTTAGCCTTTCTTACAAAGTTGAGTATAGCGCTGAGTCCCAGCTCCTTAACATTCTGGGGATTCAAAGTGTTGGAACTATAGTCTGTCTGTAGTAGCTCAAAGCCGCACAGCGGCACAGAACATGTGCCGAGGACTCTTCCTCTACCCCGCAGCCCTGACACATGGGATTCTCAAACATATCCATTAAATCCAGGTGACACCTAATTATGTTATAACCAGACAAGAGTCCCACCACCAACCTTTAGTTGGCTCTATCCAAAGATAAGTAAAAGCGTCCACCGTTAGCAGTGGACTTTAAAATGAGCTCCCGTGACTGACGGACTTCTACTTAATCCTCCTGACTCTTTGCGTGGGCACCCCCTGGGCTGCCTCACGACCAACAAGCTTGTAAGCAGATCCTGCTTTCGCTACAGCTTCCTCCATATCATTGCCCTTTATCCCAGTGTGCCCCGGTACCAACTCTAACGCTCCAAGTTGTGGGATACCCAAGCCAGAATCGAATGGTTTTCCCTCTGGAAAATAGTGGTGTATCCGTTGAGAGGCACTTAGGCCCGTATCGTCAGTCATCCCTACAATTGTAGGGCGCCTTTATGGCCTCCTTGATTGTCATAGTTTTCTACTTGTCCGTGTCAGAACTCTATTTTGAGGTTATGTCACAAACATCTATTTACATCAAATTGTGCTTACTTTTGAGTTATATCATGTTTTATCAGCCTGAAGTTTCCTACAATTTAAAAAGAAAACATATCTTCACAATAAGAGAGCGCTGACGCTGACACGGGACAAATGTAATCTAGAAATTTTTGAAAGAGAGAAAGCAGTATGACAATCAAGGAGGCCATAAACGCGCCCTACAATTGTAGGGACGTTTGACGATACGGGCCTTAAATTCTAGTTCTAGGCCAAAAAACCCCGGCGCTAGATCAAAAACGTTTGTTAACCATATGTTTGTGACCGACCGTCTTTTGTGTTAATTGCATTTAGAAGCAGATTTTATATGGTTCCTAGCTTTTATTCATTTTAAACAATATCAGATCTTCGTAAGTACTTTACATGGTAATGGTTCTCATAGTTCGTAGGCACATTATCATAAAAACTATAAACACTTTTCCTATTTAACTCGTCCACAGAACTGAATGGTGTAGTATGCCTCGATCTATACGATTCAGGATAGTCCATCAAAGACGTGGTTGGCAGAACAGCATCTTCATCTGCTTCTATTCGTTTCACTGTTAGAATTTTTTGGTGCTTCCAGTGTGTGATGAACAGTATTATTATCGATAGCAGGAATATTGAGATTGTAAACAAGCAGGTGGACAATGAGTACAAAGTGGTTAGCTTTGAACTGATTCTTGACAGTGCAATGTAGGTATGTAGCGTAATCTGAAAACAAATGACATTTATAGTACAATGTAAGTCATTTTGTTGGTCTATGGTTCAAATATCCGCGAGACAGATAAGCAAATCACATTGTCATCAGAATTGTAATTTGTTCTTGACAAAGACCACAGTGGTATAGCTGTAGTCACCGTTCTTGGCGGTTACGTCATTAAAGCCATATGAAATAAGTAAACAGATCGAATCTCCGTACCATGGGCGGAACACTGCGCAGACTAATCTTCAGCGCATCTGCTACTCTCTCCAGTACGCATGAATTGGGTAACAGGGGACCGCTGTTTTCATTATCTTCCTGGAAATACTCTAATAAATTTAGCACGAGCTGCCGACCTCCTCCATTGATAGTATTTCCGGGCATTATACAATTTTATATTGAAGATTGATAACAGGACAACTTGAATTGCAGGCCGATGTCAAGTAAGTTGTCACTCTGACAAATATGATTGAAGGGCACTCATACGAACCACAAAGTTTCCGACACGGAGACACACAACAAAAAAACGCATGTCTTACCGAATAAACGTTCACGGTTGCATGTGTATATATGAGGAAGATAGAGATATATAAAGGGATACTGGTAGTCTTTCTTTGACCCACCAAGAACGTTGATTACATCTATTGTCAAAACGTCGTAAATAGTACGACAAAACATAGGGATGATAGACGACGAGCAGATCTACAATATACCAAAATATGACCCTAGTAAAAGTTACACTGTTAATAATAATAATAATAATAGCTTTATTGTCCAACAGTTTCCCATTTATAGGACAATTTATAAACATAATACAAAAACAAAAAAAAAAGCGAAAAGAAAACAACAAATGCAACCCAGGTATAAATTTGTAACATGAGCTATTGGTCCGAATAAGCCTTAGCTGCCTTTAGCAGGTAATTAACATTTGTCGTAAATATATCACTACATATAACGGTGACTTGAGAAGAATGTTTGTCCTAGCTCTAGGAAGCCCGAATATTTTATGATTGCGAGATGCAAACGTTGGAGTACGAAACTTGATCTGTTCCAGGATCAAGGGGCAACCAATTATATTTTTGGTCATTTTGTAGCCAAATATTATTGAGGCACAGTACCTACGTTTTTTCAAAGTCAACATGTCTAAGCTACTACATAGTTCCTCATTACTTGTACCTCTCTCTGGATATGTCCCATCAATCCTAAACAGAACAAACTTCATAAACTTCCGTTGTACTCTTTCAATAGCTGTGCTATATCATTCATAGTAAGGGCTCCAAATACTACAATATTCGACTTTGGATCTAACATAAGCATAATATAATAGCTTCATAGACTTTATGTTATGAAAATTCCTGCAATTCCTTACCATGAAACGATAAGCCGCCAATGCTTCTGATGCTTTTTTATTTATATGCTGACTAAAAGTTAACTTTTAATCACAGATTATACCTAAATCAGGTACATCAGAGCATATTTCTATCACAGACCCATCAATAGAGTACGAATATTCGCAAACATTAATTTTCCTAGTATAGCTGACTATTTTACACTTCCTCACATTAAGCTCCAACTTGTTTTCTACACACCAAGACAGCACAAAATTTAATTGGTGTTGTAGCTTGATACAATCATCAGGAGTATTTATCTGCGAATCAATTTTTAGGTCGTCAGCAAAGCATACTGAGTCAACTGAGTCACAGAGGTCATTAATAAATATCAAAAAGAGTAATGGTCCCAGGTTGAACCCCTGAGAAACTCCAGAAGGTCTCAGATTGGGAGCCATTTTAGCAAACAAATTGTCTACGATCGGATAAGTAAGATTTCATCAACTCCATAGCATCATCTGTGAAACCAAGTGCACCTAACTGTTGTTGAGATATTAATTATTTGATGCTGTGCCTAGAAATAACAGGATATCTGTTTGTTCTTTTTGCAAAATTTTCGATGAATACAAGTAGGTAAACCTTGCAAACTAATTTCTTCTTCGTAATTTTTATTTTACAAACCTATTTTACTCAACTTTGGTATTCAGCAATAAAATAAAAATGTACTAGACCGCTACTGCGAAGTACTGCGCTAAATTACCTGCTTAATCAGCAACAAAAGATGGATCAAACGAGAATATTTTAAGAAAAAAACAAAAAAATTAATATCTCAAGAACAGTGAAACTTGTACTAGGGTCATTTTTTGGTATGTTGTAGATCTGCCTTTCGTCAATCTTCCCCATTTTTTTTGTCGTACTATTTACCGGACACGCTGTATGTATAATATGTGACATTCAGGCATATCTTCAATCTTTTTTCCAATAAAAAATATTGGAAATGCCTTCAAATCTGTTAAGGCTCTCAGCAAAAAGATGCTTAAGAAACATCAATATAAAGGGTGACTCAGTATCTTTTTCCAAAATTGGTTGATTTACTAAAATAATACCGATATACCTATTGAGAAACCGCTAAGCTTTAAGAACCTGAACAAAAATGCGCAAAGAACAATACAGGCATGCAAATATAAATGTGCAGAAAATCAAGAACTTAATATAACTGAATAACTACATAACTTACGTAACTGAAGAGTTCAGTGAAAATCATGGCTCCACGAACCAAAACTAAGTGCACGTTTACATCAAACGCGCTTCGCTTGGAGCTGTGCGCTTTGCTTTACAGCCCAGTAGGAAGCGAGAGGAACGACAACACAGCTTTAAATGAATGTGTTCAGACCGCGCGCATGGCGCTACGCGCTGTGCCTTACGTTATACTATGCGGAGCGGTGGAAAACGCGATGTGTTGGTTTTGCGTTGCGTTTTGCCTCGCTTGTTCAGACAACTCCGAGGGTTATCTGCATAAACACAATGGAAGAAGAAATTATCACCGCCGTTTTTAAACGAGAGGCAATATGGAATCCGAAGCATGCGTTGCATAAAAATGTATACGCGTTACAAAAAATGTGGAAAGAAATAGGAGACGAAGTTGGAAAAGATGGTGAGTTCATATTATGTTTTAACTAGGGATGGATATAATATATCAACTTTTAGAATGTGTCGATGTCTTCTTTTTGTTGTCCGTATTTTTGCATCGGTTTTGGTTTCCATGTATAGGGGCGTATTCGTGTTTTTATTCTATGTATAAGTGGTTTGCGATACGTCATCTGTATAAACCATCGTGTGTATGAGGTAGTAGCAGTTTTAATTTTTAAGGCAGAGTAGTTAAAGAACAAAATAATTAGGGAATAGAAACTCAAAGATAATACTATATAATACATTTATTGTACGAAAGAAAATTGATTCTGCCACTCAACTGCACCAGTAGTCACAAAATAATTTGTTAATATTTCTCTGGTTCTCTTTGCATCTTCGGAAAAGCGATACTGGGAGTGTGTGTAGGTACTCGGATTAATATCGCCGCTAAAGCCCGTCTGACATTCCTTATTTGTCTTAAATCCCTCCTGTTCTATAACAAAATTGTGCAAAATACAAATGGCCTTTACAATATTTATAGCTGTCTCAATTTTTGTTTCGATAGGTTTTAGTAAAATTCGCCATTTGCCACTCATTATGCCAAATGCGCATTCAGCACATCGCCGGGCTCTGGAGAGACGATAATTAAAAATTCTTTTTGAATTATCTAAATTTCTTCTAGGATATGGCCTCATTAGGTATGGAAGCAGAGGGTAAGCTTCATCGCCTACTATAACCAATGGGGCTTTTATATTTGTTTGTGGTAAGCATTGATCAGGTGGGACGTCAAGCTCTTTTCTGTCTAATGCTCGAAAAAGCGACGAGGACCTAAAATTTCCTCCATCGCTTTGGCGTCCAAAACTCCCAATATCAACCGCAATTAATTTACAGTCAGCATCAACTAGGGCTTGAAGTAATATTGAAAAATATTGCTTATAATTATAGTATAGAGATCCGGTATTGGAGGGACATTTAACTTCAATATGTTTGCCGTCAATACTGCCTATGCAATTTGGAAAATTCCATTTGGTCCAATATTGTTGTGATTTATTGTGCCACGTTGCTTGTGTAGGTTTTGGTAGGTAATCACTTTTCATGGTATCCCATATTACCATGCATGTATGATTTACAATATTTGAAACTGTTGCCACCCCCAATCTGAAGTGTAGAGCTAGGGATCGATAGGATTCTCCAGTAGCAAGAAATCTGCAACAAACATACATAAAATATGCTTGGTGTTAATAGCAATTTTTGTTTCAGTTCAAACTGTTAAAAATAAATGGAAATACTTGAGGGACTACTTTAACAGAGAAACAAAAAAGTTAGAAAAACCCAGATCAGGCAGTGGAGCAAATGAAGCTGTAGCAAGTCCTTGGCAATATTATTCTCTTTTGTTATTTTTAAAAGACCATCTGCAAACCCCACTGAGGGATGCAAATATAGAAGCGGAAAGGGTCACAGAAGATATTGACTTAGAATATAATGATATACAGGACGTAGAGTCGCAAGATTCTGACAATGTTTTGTCACCGCCATCGACCAGCAGTCAAGCACCTTCAAGGTCTGCAAGCCGATTATCTTCTACTTCTGAAACTCGGAAGGGGGCGCAGAAGCGAAAGAAGCAACTGGCAACAGAAAACGACAATAGCGAACTAATAATGTTAGAAAAACGGAAACTTGAGCTCCTAGAGTCTGAATCACTTAAAGAAAATGATGATGATCTTTTGTTCCTAAAGAGTCTTTTGCCATACATGAAGAGTCTTCCTGCTTCAAGAAGATTACGTCTAAGATTAAAGTTTCAGGAACTGCTTCTTCAGCAAGTTGAGGAGCATGAAAGTGAAGTTTCACAAAATGTTTGTGGACAACCTCCGGCACGTGTCTTTACCTTCCCCGCTCCCTCAAGTTCCGCTTCGGACAATCATACATACCATCATCACATACCGATACAGTCAACACATCCGGATCCGACCACACACAATGTATCTGAAGGTAGTGAATTGGACACCCCTATGCGAAGTTTTTTTTCAGGATATAACGCGTAACATTTTTATTCGGACAAATGTATTTTTTAATAAAATAAAACTCAGTTTTTCATAAACACTATAATTTTATTTTGGCTTACCTCAATGTTATAACCAAACGTTGTTCTGCTGAAATCCTTTCACGGAAATTGGTTCCAATCCCACATAAATAAGGATCCAAATGGCTTAGGAGAAGGTCGAAAGATTCCTTTGACATCCTCAAGTATTCATAAAATTTTTCTGGATATTTTCTGGCATCTCGATAGAGGTGATAGAATTCTCCGAACGATTTCCTACATATATTAATCTCATGCACCCACGATCGTTTTAGTTTTTTTCTATTCACTTTCAACGCAATACTTTCGAGTAGTAATATCTTCTTAACTCGTGAAGGAGCCATGGTGAAATGCTTGGAAAATGCGTCTTTAAATATAAAGTGTGTTTTAATAACAGTCGAGGTATGAAAAGCGAAGCGCCTCCGATATGAATGAACCCGAACGCATAGAGGTTCGCTTGACATGAAGTGAGGCGCACAGCTCCAAGCGAAGCGCGCTCGATGTAAACGTGCCCTTAATGTCAAGTCATTGCTTTGTATCACACACTATCTTCACTACACCAACAACTGCATCGCAGCATCTGACATTTGCCATTATTACATCAATAGCAATGCGAGTATATCGTACCTATTTATCTTATCTTCGCTTATCAGCTTTCTGTGGGTGGAAGTGTGACTTTATTAGTGTTACGTTACTTGTATTATTATAGTACAACCATTCTATATATTTAAACATATCATACGCATGGAACAATGTAGATAATTATATTATTCAAATGGAAAACATGTATTATGTCAGCGGACTTTGCTCCTCAGAGCCCTCTTCCATGATACTACCGCGCGATGAGCCTGCCAGACAGAGACGACCTCCCATCCTAATCGCTAGGATCGCTCCTTGGTCGTCAGTCGCTCCTACAACTTTCTCTCGAAAAATTCAAATATACACTGCATGTTTTTAAAATTTTAAGTAATACTTTTCCAAAAAGTTACAGTTCAAATCAAATGACTAGCACATTGTTTGTGTAAACGGGGGGTTTTTTAGTGGTTGGATACAAACCTTCAATTGAATTACTTCTCACCCATCAAAGGCCCCCTTTCCACGAGTAATGTGGTACTTATTTATTTTGAATTATTGTTTCTGGAAACAACTTAAGCATTAAGCATTTAAGCCCCAAAAGCTTAACACCAATGTGAAGCTTATAAAAAGGATAATCTAGACTTGTGAGATAACACACTCTCTTTCATTTGATTTATTTTGAAAAGTAGATTATAAGCACCCTGTATAGACAGTACACAATATTTCACTTCAATGACGAGAATTTAAGAGTTACGAAGCTCAAAACTGCTGACTGACTAACAAGCTGCCAATATTGAATGTATTTCAGAGAGTAAAAGTGTGTGGTGTTGGTGCTTTATCTGCTACTTGTGCTAGCATGAACTAGTTTTATCAGAGAAACATTAAGGAAAACTAATATTAAAAACATTAATAACAACACTACACATTCAGCACTATAAGAATGCACAAAAATAAACTAATACAAAAACGTTTTGCAGAAGTCCTAGAGACACATTTATAATTCGATAGTTGAAAACAGTGCATCGAATAGCGATTTTTTTTATACCGAGACACCGCGGCTGATATCAGGATCCCAAAGAGGTTTTGTTAATCCAATTTTTGAACTGCCTAAGGTTAGTAGGACTGGGAAAAGCTTCCTCTTGTAGACCGTTCCGCAATCTTGGCACCCTCGGGACAAAGGAGCGGTCGTATCGGCCAGTTCTGGATGTACGAAGTTCGACACGGTTACGGTGGGAGGCCAAAGTCAGGCAGGTCTGTCTGGCAGGCACACCGCGCAGCGGCATCGTGGAAGAGAGCTCTGAGGAACAAAACCCGATGGTGTAGCGATAGAAGAGAGCTAGATCGCTGACGGCCCGTCGGTGCGAAATGATCTCGAGACTGTCTGTTAGAAAAGAGTCATCGATCAGTCGGACAACCCTCCTCTGGACAGCCCAAACGTGTAAGCAATACTCGAGGCTAGGCCTTATCAGGGCCTTGTGTAGAGTAAGAAAGTGATGCGTAGAAAAGTACTTCTTAGCCCTAAACAAATAGCCTAGCTTTTTTCCAGCAGCTGCCGCTATTAGCGAGATGTGTTGGTGCCAGATAAAGTCCTCGGTCCTTGGACTGCGACAGACTGAGATGAACGGCTGTTTGGCAGAACTCGGCCACCCATGGAAACCGGATGTTCGTCAAGGTACAGTACTTTGTTTTGGAAGCATTGAACTGTACAAGATTGTTGCGTACCCAAGCAGGGATAACCTCAAGGTCTCTCGTCAGAGAGTAAGTCGTCGCCAGTGTTCTTTTATCCAGCTCAGCGGCAGACATTGGCTTGTCACTCTGAATTCCTGCATGTAGAGTGCTGCGATTAGCGAAGCTGTAGATTGGGTTGATCGTGTAGGAAAAGAGGTCGTCGATATATAAAAGGACCAGTGTCATAGCCAAGACCAATCCCTGGGGAATACCCGCATTGACGTTGTGAGATGAAGAGGAGAACTCGTCAGTTACAACGGCTATCTTGCGGCCAGCGAGAGAGTTAGCCATCCAACTGCAAAACTCTTCTGTGAGGCCATAGAGTGGAGGTTTGCATAAGATGGCAGCGTGCCACAGCTAATCGAACGACATGAGCCTCACCTAAGACTGGGTGAGTTTACTCCACATTTGCGTGACATATGCTAGGAGAAACCATACTACCTGTCGGTAATCAAGCCGTGACGGTTGAGGTAATCCAGAAGCTCGCGCTTTATGCACCTCTCCATCACCTTATTTATAAGAGAAAGCAGAGCTATAAGCCTGTAACTGTAAGAGTCAGTCTCAGATTAGTTTTTGGGATCTGTTGGACATGAGCAAATTTACAGTTTTTTGGGAAGGTGCCGGATTCATAAGATATCTGGAAGAGACACGGAAGAACTGGAGCTCCGCTGCACACCTCTTCAGTACAACGGCAGGAATCAAGTCCGGACCAGAAGCTTTGTTGATGTCGACCGATAAGAGCACCCATCTTACGGTCTTATGTCTGAATGTTACTTCCTGCATAGTGTAGGGAACCCTTTGGGTCGACGGCACTTAGGACGTCCATGGCGGGGTTGGCAGCAAAGATCTTGACAAGCACTTTCGCCTTGGACTTTGAGTCGGTCACAATCGTTCCATCCTGACATGTAAGTGTTGGAGGGCTACTGTGTGAGAAGTTCTTTTCAATATGCTTGGCGAACATCCAGAGAGACCGACTGCCATTGCGCTGCGACATTACCCTGTGCGATGGAACCATTCCAAGACATTCCAGAAGCAGCTGTAAACCTAGGGACCTCTGGATACTAAAACATGTTTCGAGTTGAGAATCATCGGTGATAATGTTGGACTTTGGAGATTTTGTAAAGACACGAAATATTTGTATGCTTAGGCGGCAAACTGAGCATTTGCCTACCAAAACAAACATTATTTCCCCGAATATGGAGCCATTTTTGCGTTTCCTCTGCTTACGCCAACATTGTCATATTTTCGAATAACCCGCGCGCGGAAATGGGATCGCAAATGATTTATTTGCCGAGCAGATGACTTGTTTAGCTGCGTACGGGCCATTTGGCAGACTACGCGAGATGACTGGTACAGCATATACATTGCTGCACATCACCGTAACTTCTTAGAAATTACGCTGAACAATAGGAGCTGGGCACACTCTGTGAGACGCTACCACGCGCACTCGTTTCGCCTCACTGACGCTGTCTAGTCGACCGCAAGGTATATGTTCTATAGATGGTGTCTAATCTATTACTAGATGGTATATTGCTTTTTAACATAAACTTTCTGAAGAACACTATTTATGAGCTATTATACATCGTGCCTAGCGGCAAATATCCATAATTATACAAGGTGTGACAAACTTGACCCATATCAAAGCTTCTGGAGTATCTCGAACATTGCGTCTTGATTAGCGACAGTCAGTATGGTTTTCAGCATCAGCTACACCGGGGACCTCCTAGCTTACATCACGCAACTGCGGGGTAAACAGACTGTCGGCGATCTGGCTATCTCCTACCGCTATGTCAACGAACCTTGATCCTCAGATCTCCCTTCCATGAATCCCCAGCTCGATTGGCCGACCAGACAGATCCCGCATGCCTTCGGCCTCCTATCCTGAACGTGTCTATCTTCGTACATCCAGAAATGACCGGTAAGACAGCTCATTTATCCCTAAATCGGATCAACACAACAATAACAAGCTTCTGTCTATGCGGCCGCTTCAGTATATATAAAAAAGCATATTTTACGTTTTTGACCACATTGCATGAATCAATCGAACAATTCAAAATGTGGATGAATTAGGTTGAAATTGAGGAAAGTAAACAAATTTTGACAAAAAATTTACTACCCTACTCGTCAAGATTATGATGTCTGTCAAACGTTAGTGATTTTTAGATAAAAAATCCAATAGCCAAACAAGTAATAATCAATACTCATCAGTATGATATATCAATACAATAATAATAAATGGCCTCAATTCGTCACAACATAACAAAATAATAGACTCAATAGGAAAAATAGAAAGTGACGAAAAGGCGAGAGCGACAGCTTACGTAATTGGATGGATACCGCCTCAATATGACCAGACTTGGTGCTGTAGGTACATCTCGTCCTCGGTTGATAAAGGTTGGCTTTGCATCGCCTATAATAGCTAAGAATATTCTACGCAAGAAGAATGATATTTTAAGCCACTCTACCTATAACTCCGTTAAAATTTTGGACGACAAAACACCGTCACAAATGCATGAGCTGCAGCAACTACGTGAGGAGTTGAAACGAAGGCTAACGGCTGGAGAACGCAATATCACGATTAAATATGTCAAGGGTAGACCATCCATTGTCAATATTGTTGCACAGCAATCTTCTGTATCAAAAAACTGCTAACCGAGGTGTCGGTGTGCTACACAAACATTCAGTCACTGGTATCTAAACTTCTCGAAGTGCAAGCATTTGTTGATGGAACCAAACCTTCGTTTCTTTGTCTGACAGAAACCTGGCTCAGCCCTAATATACCTGACTATGTTGTTAATTTGCCTGGTTACTGTTTGTATAGGGTAGATTCCCCTCGCACGCCGGGGTATTGTGGGGTCTGTGTTTATGTACGTACCGAATTTGCTGACAATTTCACAATAACTACTACTTCCAAGAGCTTCGATGGTATCGACAGTCTCTTTTTGGAACTTACACGGCCAAACTTCAGTTTTGTATTAGCCTGTATCTACAGACCGCGTCCCTGTGCTGGTGATGTTTATTTGTGTAAATTCATCCAAGAACTTCTAACCAAGAATTCAAACATTCTGTTAACTGGTGATTTCAACTTACGTGACATCAGCTGGCCCATGACAACATTACCAGAATGCAACTCTCCTTCTGCCCCTTATATTGATTTAATGCGTAAGTCGAACATTCTCCAACTCGTAGATCATCCGACGAGATTCAGAGAAGGCCATACTCCCAGAACTCTCGACTTCAAAATCACATCCTTCCTTCCTGTTGGCGTACTGCATCTGTGACTCCTATATACAAAAAAGGAGATAAAACATCTGCGAAAAACTACCGTCATATCAGTCTTGTGCCTATAGCTGCGAAAATAGCCGAAAAGATAGTCCAGGAAACACTTATGACATTTGCGTTCAAGAACAACCTGCTGCCTAGCAACCAACATGGTTTTATTCCTGGTAGAGCAATTATCACCAACATGTTACACTGCATTGACAATTGGACCAGATCTTTAGACGCAAATGAACCGGTCGACGTGGTTTTTCTGGATTTTTCCAGAGCTTTCGATCGAGTTCCGCATAAAAGGCTCCTGCACAAGCTTGAACATCTCGGAATCAGGGGAAATTTGTTGTTATGGATTGAAGCTTTTTTGTTAGACAGATCTTTCTCCGTCCGTGTTGAAGACGCCTATTCTTCTAGTCATCGTGTTACTAGTGGAGTTCCACAAGGATCTGTGCTAGGGCCAATACTTTTTCTTCTTTACACAAGCGACCTTCCCACCTGACTTTATTCTATGTGTTCCATCTATGCAGATGATACTAAAGTCTATAACACTGTCATGAACTCATCTGTGCTTCAAGAAAACCTCAAGCTGATCAGAAAGTGGTCAGGACTCTGGCTCCTGCCTTTGAATCTATCGAAATGCTACGTTCTCCACCTGGGAAAGAATAATCCGAACTTAACATATAAGATTGGCAAACATACCTTAGAGACTGTTCTTCATCACACAGATCTTGGACTGACAGTTAATGGCCGGCTCACCTGGTCGGAGCACATTCAGAACATAACCTCTAAGGCAAAGCGGTTGCTATATATGATGGAAAGGTCATTTAGCGGTTGCACCGTTAGTACCTCCTCCTTTTTGTACACAACTTTCGTACGACCCCTACTGGAGTTTGCTGGTCCGGTATGGGATTCAAACCTTGTTCGCGATAGCAGCTTATTAGAGGCCGTTCAGCGTCGTGCTACACGTATGCCATATGGCACACGTAGGCCAAGTTATGAAGACCGCCTCGAGCTATATAACCTGCCTGCTTTTGCTGATAGAAGAGTACGAGGAGATCTCAGCATCACTTTCAGAGCACTGCATAATTTGTTTGGTGTGGACATGTCGCATCTGTTTCGTCTGGCAACGAACAGTCTCAGAGGCCATAACTTCAAATTGCAGAAGGAAGCTTTTAGAACCTCTACTCGTCAGCGCTTCATCTCAAACCGTGTCTTCGATGCATGGAACAGTCTTCCATCTTATGTAGTGAACTCGGAATCCGTCAACAGTTTCAAAAACAATTACGATAGACACCGCAGTGCTTAACATATTGTTCCCATTCTGTATATGTCTACTTCAGAAGTGCTAAGATTGTCAAATTGTTATATTTCTTTTGTCTGTACACTATTATCTATTTTTGTGTTTGAGTTTATAGTACTTGTACTCAACTCAAATTTGTTGTTTAATAATAATAATAATAATAATAATAATAATAATTCTTCAACCCGACCTGAAGATATAGGCAGAATAGATAAACTAGTATAAAGAAAAAAATCAATGAGCACAAAAAAAGAAAAGCATAAGATATCCACAGAATAACCAGACATCCGATCGCACTAAGGTCATCTTTAACCATTCTTCAAAGCTTAGGCTGAAGTCTTTATAGTTTTTTATACTCAGTAGGCAAGCAGTTATATATTTTGTGCGTCCAATACGACAAACTGCTTTTTTTTTTTTTACATATAATTGGCATTGGAAGTTATCCATTTGCCACAGATGTGTGTTACTTATATTTCTCTAATTATGGACAAACACACGACGTCACAACATCCATGGCGAAGGCGAGATTCGAACTCGCGGCCCGGCCGGCTGGCTGATCAGTAGCACGACACTCTGACCAACGCGGCCAACCGAGGCCCCAGACAAACTGCTTATGAACAAGGTTGTGAAATGCCGAGGATGAGTAAAATACGTTTAGTCCTCGAGGATCTTCGATGGTACTGAGAGATAAGGTATATAATTGTATGAAGGTAATATGGCAGTTCAAGGAGATGGGTCTCTTACACTAGAGCTAGGCAATGCAGCTTCCTCACTTTGTCCATCTGAAGCCATCATCCCAATTGCCTAACGGTGAAAATAATATGATCGAATTTACGGATTCCACAAGAAACGTTGTATTAGGGATTTGCAGACCTCAATCTTGAGCTGTGTTGACAAGATACTTTGACTTGGGAATAATTGAAGAAGCACATCGCTGGTTAACATATTTAGTCAAACTAGATACCGGGGTTTTGACACTTGTTTACATATAATATGTCTTCATTGTCCACTATAATATAAATGCGATCTTGATTAAATTCTCGAATGTTTTTGGGCCCAAATAAAATGCAAGGTATTCCCGCAGTTTTAGATTATGTGCAGAATATACGCCATGAATAGACTGCAGATCTGATTTACTTAATGGTGTCCAAGCATGTTCTCCTCAGAATCGAAGGTGTTATAAAGTCGTCTGTTATTTGCATAGTTGGCGTTTGCATATATAAATAGCAAATAAATGGGGACACAAAATATAACCTTGTGGGAAATCCAAGCTTAATGAGATTGAAGCATCAACATCTGGAGTCAGCGGGGCCCAGTACATCGACAGCACAGTTCATAACAGTTTCTCAAAGCTTGAAAAACAGACTTTGCGTTGAAGCTCGTAAAGTTTAGATGTCCAGATATATTAAAAACACATAATAAAAATCAATGTTAACCAAGTCTTCTAGCAATGTAAGTTTGGAGCTGACTGAAGCTAATTCTTGAAGACAAGTCAACATATTTTTTAAGTACAATAAGTATAACTACATGATATATATACAACAAAATCAGATAATTTATACAGAATAAAGAAAATGCATCAAATACATGCAATACTAGTAAAAATATCCGGTGGAACAGAATTATAAATCGATAAGAATGATAAACAAATATAGGCAGGCGCTAAGAGTTTGTAAATTCACGCACAAACTAAACACAAGGACAGACAATAGTTCAGTTACTTCCTACTGCCTAGCTTTAGACCTTTGTGCGAGAAAGTAGGTATACTTTCAGATCAACCTGCAGTTAGTCTCTTGTTTACCTTGCTTGGTGATTCCAACACAGACTCTTTTCCCCTCTTTTCGAACTTAGAGAGATCACTTGTCAAATTTCTTTATCTTTATCCTGCTCAGAGGTAATTAATTGTCTCAGTGTTTCTTGTATCCTGATCGTCGACAACATCGTCATTCTGTAACGTTTTCCGTTGAGATAACGAATATTATTTATATTCAGGGTGTTAGAGAAATAATATTCATAACTTCAAGAGGTGATTCCTTGCAATATCCTAAGCAAAAAGGTTCATTATAACTTATGTCCGAAAACCAATCGTTATCGAGGAAAGCGAGTCGTAAATAATTAAATTTTCTCAAACATTTGGCAACGCTGCAACGCAACCGCGATACGAGCGCACAACGACCGCAACTGATTCATCGAATTGTTTACGTTTGTATGATATTTTTGTTGAAAATATGCCTTGAATTATTGAATACTTTTACGCAATTTTTTGTGGCTAATATTATTCATTTAATAACACTTTCAGTACAGTAAATTTACTTAAAAAAGATGACAGAACTTACTGGTACGTGGCGATACACACCACCAATTTCCAGAACTATCAGGCACTTATTCGAAACGATGCGATGCACGAAAAGAAAAAAAAACAACATCCGTAAATCACATAAAGGTACAGTTAAATATATTAGTAATCACAACAACACCGGATGATACATGCATTGCAAGCGGAGTACGACGTTGCCAGTTGTGTGAGGGATTTTGTTTGTCTGTTTTTCTTCGGAAAATTGTATTTAATAAGCAAGAAAATTATTTTGTTACAGACAGTTAATTAATAAATAGATGTATTGATACATTTTACGCTATCAGGCATATGAATTTAATATTTTATTAAGGAGCAAAATTTCATGACTAAAAAGAAATGAGTTCAGTTTTTTTGCTTGGAGATGGTTGATTTTCGGACATAAGTTATAATGAACTTTTTTGCTTATAATAATGAAAGAAATCACCTCTTAAATTTATGAATATAACACCCTGTATATGCAGAACTAGATGCTGCTCTCTCTTTCTTCATGTTCGGATAAAGTATTTTTCCCTTTGGGTATTCTCCCAATGTGTAATCGCTGTCACACGTGCCAAATGTTTAGGAAGCGTCCTTGCCTTTCCCAAAGCTTTTTGGTTAACACTGTAGTTAACGAGTTCAACGACAGGCGGCCTAGCTGTATTATCCGAATCAACTACCTTTGCGGCATTTGCGAAGCTTGAATTGAATGTTATTCATAGTATCTTCCTTAGACGGCTCATAATTTTCCTTTGGCCTTTAGGTGACTATGTTATATTTCCTCAGCTTTCCCTCTAAATCTAGGTTTTATTCTTTTTAATAGTTTTCCTTTTCGTTACCCCTTTATACGTTATTGATATCATTTATTTCCTTTTTGGCTTCAATGACAATCTTGATCAATGTTTAAATAACCTATACGAGTAGCGGTATTGGACGGTGGCCTGTTCTACTGTCACCTAGGACATGAGATACATGTATCTCGCTGGAACTATTTACATCGATAGCTTCTTCAAGAATTTGGCGTGTCTTATACAGGGTTATCCAAATTAAGTGTCCACCATTAGTAACTTTGTTATTAGTGAAAATACAAAGTTGTTTGAATTAGCAAACTAGTAGCATTTTTAACGCTGGTAAAAATGAGAAATAAAAAAAAACAATTGAGAGTCGTTATTTTGATTTTTTTCAGTAAAATAACATTTTTTTAAATGGAAACCCCTGTATATTATATTTTTTTCTGTTAAAGCATCAAATTTTAAACAAAAAAGTTCATAATGACTTTTCCGCTAAAGTCAAAAATAAAGTCAAAATAACGATAAATATTTTTAATTATTTGCAGTATTATAATATTAAGACGGCTATGAAAACAACATGGCGTTCGCGATTTGACAGCATTAAGATAAGCGACAAATTGTTAAACTGGACATACTCGCAACTAGAAGGCTTTGGAAAACAATGATAAAATCAAATAATGTCAAACATTAGTGTAAATACTTGTTTATAAGCTTTATGGTGTCATTAATTTAAAGAAAAATGTTCTCCCATGAAGAAAAGTGTGATATGTTAGAATGCTATTTAGTGTGCAGAAAATCCTCCTTGAGAGCAAGAGAATACTACAGTGAATTATATCCCGCTCGCATTCAACCGTATGAACGATATTTTCTGAGACTTTATCGAAAATTTAGGGGCAACGAAAATGTTTTTGCTAAAACAAGGGCAAAAAAAGAATTCATAATAAGCGAGGCCACGGAAATTGCAGTTATTGGATATTTTGAAGCTTATCGTGAGAATTCAATAGCAGATATTCTCAAGGACTCTAATTTCAGTTATGGTACTGTTCAAAGGATTTTAAAAAAATACAAATTTATTCCGTATAAGTATCCAGAGAGAAGACTTGTTTTTTGCCATTGGTATCTTAGCTTCTGTCGCCAAAATGTAAATAACTTTCGTTACCTTTTATGGACAGATGAATCAAATTTTTCAAATTCTGGAATGCTTAATAGAAAAAACCACCATTATTGGTCAAGAGAAAATCTTTTGTTAGTACATCCAAGAGGCCCACAAGTCCGTTTCAGTTTCAACGTTTGGTGCGGTATAATTGGTTCAAAAATTGTTGGCCCGTTCTTTTATGAGGGAACCCTAACTGGTGAAAGATATGTGGAATTTATGTCAGAAATTCTGACTAATTTCTTAGACGAATTGGATCTTATAAGTAGACATCATCTGCATTTTCAGCAAGATGGCGCACCTGCCCACAACTCCAGAGGTACTTATCATTTTCTAAGTACTACTTTTAATGATCAGTGGATAGGAACAAATGGCCCAATACAGTGGCCTCCCAGATCACCAGATCTAAACCCACTTGATTACTTCTTGTGGGGTTACTTAAAGAACGAAATTTACAAGCGAAGGTACGATAACCTTGACGCGTTAAAGACTGCAGTTAGGGAAAAGATAACCCAGATAGATGGTAGGACCATACTTAAGACAGTTCGAGCAGTTGAAAAACGTGCCCAAAAATGTATTGAAGAACAAGGTGGTGTTTTCGAGCATCTTCTTTAAAAAAAATTGTTATTGTATTTTGTAAGATTATAAGTTGATGTTGAAAATAAAGTTTGTCGATACAATTTAATTGTTTCAGATTGGAGGCCATAACTTCAACAATTTGTAACCTAGGAGAAAAGTTATTGTAAGCTTTTTTGTTTAAAATTTGATGCTTTAACAGAAAAAAATATAATATACAGGGGTTTCCATTTAAAAAAATGTTATTTTACTGAAAAAAATCAAAATAACGACTCTCAATTGTTTTTTTTATTTCTCATTTTTACCAGCGTTAAAAATGCTACTAGTTTGCTAATTCAAACAACTTTGTATTTTCACTAATAACAAAGTTACTAATGGTGGACACTTAATTTGGATAACCCTGTATAGGATTACCGTGTATGAGTTCTTTGTACACACATTTTACCATGAAAAAAATTGTGTTCACTCACATTTATGCGTTCAAATAAACACTCGATCCTGGCACTAATCCACTGAGGCTACATAATCATATTGCTACTGCCGCTCGCAAAGAACTTCCCCCCCCCCCCCCCCCCCCCCCTCCCCAAGTGACAAGCGAACACGAGATTATCTGTTGATTTTGAATGTACTAAGCATGTATCCCTCGCTCATCGTTCCGAAAACACCAAACGTCCACCGAAAATAGTTCTGGGTGTTTTTTGCGTTCTCATGGGACGTTTGGCGTTTTTAGCCGCCACCCTATATGGTCCGTTATCCACGGTAGCCGATGTGAAGATGAACCACCGGAATGCGCTAACCCGTCGTATTATTAACTGTTGCGTTGATGTGTATTGCCACATATGCTGTGCTGTCGACTGCGACTGACTACCTCTAACCGGATTTGAAAGGGAGAGACTTTTCAGCGCGGAAATTAATTTGCATGTAGCTCCGCCACGCTTTGCGGTTATTTGTTGGGAATTAACTGGGATGATGGCCTACGCAACACCAGGATGCCTATATTACCGAAAACCGTTAATGTATCGGCCAATTTCGATTTTTTTTAGTAACACCCGCGTGCATTCGATTGATGATCGGTATACCGTGTATACAACCCAACGTACTCGTTTGCGTAGGTGGGGTAACATACCGGGTGATTCTCCAAGGTGGCTCACTCCTATAATTTTTTTATTATTGAAGATAGAAAAACGAAGTTTGGGGGTTGCGTATTATAGATGAATTTACATTTTTTGGCACATTCACTTGCTGCGACGTACTTCCGATTTGAGCGGAAACGACTCCAACTTTCGATATTCAAACGGGACATCCTATACATTTTTACTTATTTCGATCGAGAATGAAATTCTGAACTCAACGACTCCTCTCTTGCTGATATTTGTCAAATGAACTCATTTTTATTTTTCGGTCTAGAATGTGTAAATCGCTACATTTTTTATCAAGTAACACGGGAAAACACGATTTTGAAGCGAACTATATCACAGCCATTTTAAAGATTTTCTAAAAGTCACAAACACCATTTTTTCAGTTTACTTAATTTTTTCGTATAGAAAGGGGGTGGCTCGTCCGCTTTTTCTGAGAGACCATTTTCTCACGAATAGTTTGACACTACACACTGTTATTTTATTTTAACTATTTTTCTCTATACATGATCATACAACAAATTATACGTATCTGCATACGGTACACCTATGCACTAAGTCCTATTATTTTAGTTATCCGTGACAAACAATTGAAGGTGTTGCTAGGGTTAAAACAATTTGCCGAATTGACACTATACAATTTACTTCAACATAGGCCAATTTCTTTTTCTTCACTGACGGTAGAGCTATTGGAATTTTCTTCTGGTGCATTTCGCATTTCCTGTTCCAGTTTAAAAAAATAATGCCGAGTGGGACGGCGACGATTGGGCAATCCCTGAGAATAAATTCGAGCTGCCTCAGTTGCATTTTTTCTTGCTTCCCCGTAAATCAACAGCATGTCATTCTTTTCGATTCTGGTATAATTTTCCGTTGTAAATTAACTTCGTAACAGATACATTTTTAAAACGGACAGTATTTTTAATAACCTTGATTAAAATAGTATCTTGGAAAAAGTTGGCGAGCCACCCCCTTTCTATTTGAAAAAATCAAGTAGACTGAAAAAATTAGTGTTTGTAACTTTTATGAAATCTTTAAAAAGAACTTTGAGTTCATTGGCCTCAAAATCGTATTTTTCCAGTGTTGCTTAATCAAAGATGAAGCGATTTACAGAATCCATGGCATTCTAGATCGAAAAATTAAAAATGAAATAAAAAAGACCTTTCAAATATTGAAACGTGAGGCGCTGCTGATTTTAGAGAGTTATTCTTGACTGTTGGTGATTCGGTACGCAGGTTAGGTAGCTTTGTAATTTTGCGTTGTAACGTCTTCATTATATGAATTATCATACTACTATTGTCTGTTATTAAATTTAAAGAGAGTTTTGCATTGGAACCATGAAAATAACTGTGTCCTTTATTAGCAAGCAAAATCCTTGAATGAAACAGTAAAGGTTTGCCTTCAGCCACCCTGGGCTAGTCACGCGTTTTTGAGGTTTGGTTAGTTCGCTGAGGCTCTATCAATATGGGGACGGGCACTTCCTGCCCCTCATATCTAATTGTATAACAGATTTATTCAATTCTAGTTTCTTTGTCGCTGAGTATATTTTGGTAGCTGACATCGTGGCGTCTCAGTGAGGGAGGGCTCTTAGTGAAATTAATTGGACAGTTGCACAGCTATTTGAAGACGTTTGCTATCTCCCTCGCTTATGCGTGGAAAGTAAAATATATGCAGGAGGAGAACCCGCAAACGAGAAAGATGGACCCGAACACATGGCGCAATGATCGCAGATGCACCACCTATTGCGCGTGCGGAAGGTATCTGAGGTTAGGAGAAATTTGAATATGTGTTAATTCGCACATAAGTGAAGTAATCCAATAATCTGTAATATCATGCAATGCAAATTAAATTAATAATGTTCCAACCGTCAGTACTGTTTTTTCTATTGCAAGTTACAAATGTTTGCATAGACTTTTAAAATAAATCTCCTGCAAAAAAACGATTACTACAACACTGGAAATTGCACATCCTTGAAATACCGTGGAGGGTTGATCTAATAGCTTTAACTTTGTTTATATAATAGGTATCTAAACTTTTTAATAGGCAGTTTTGCGAAACCGATAGCTTCATTTGAGAAACCGCCTTGATAACCTCTCAATACCCATCTATTTATTGGATTACCTCGAAGGACAACACCGAAAGCTCGGTTCGCCCTTCCAACGGTGGCACATGTGTCTAAAACCGCGTAGCAGCCGCATGGTTCCCACGCTGTTGGGGCCTGGGCGGGTACTTTCTTCTAATTCGCCCTAATTTTAAGCTCGGACCGCACTGCTGCTAGCTAGCCACCCCCATAAATCCGTTCCAGCCTAACCCCACAGAGTTTCATCTAATTGCTCGGTTAGCTGAAACAGGGGATGGAAGAGGGTAGCAACTCTGCTCAATATTAGTAAAATCTATGCTTGAATATTATTCATGTCTAAATGAGTGCGTGAATTTGCGCAAAAAATTAAATGATGTTTGAGGAGTTCACATTCGCTTGAGGACAACTTTTTACACAAAAGCGGTATCCTCTGTTTTTTTCGACAAATAAGAAGCTACTAACAGCTTTTTTCTCTGTACGAGGAATAGCAATAGTGTGATACTAAGTATAATCTTTCATGTTCTCTGCCCCTTAATGAAACCACACATGTTTGAGTTCTTGTTTACTGATACGCCGTTTTGGCCACCATGGTGGAATCTTTCAAGTACAAAACAGTTCTACAGTAGAGATAGCAACTATGCTATGGGAATACATCCCATCTGAAACAGCAACTAACCAACGAACGTCCATGGATTTATGGCAGCACGAATGGAAAAAAAATGTTTTGGTACTTACGACGGGCACGCTGTATATTTTGAGATGCGCATTAACTATACTAGTTAGAACTGGCAGCAGTGCACTATTAGAAAGAGCAGTCCTTTGTTAGTAAGTTGCCGCATTCAGTTCATCTGCAAGCGTCTTACAGTGCACGAAGTGTAAACAGATTTAAGACAAAACATGGAGTGTCTCGAGAGAGTTATCGCGCTATGATACAACGGGCATTTGATAATGTAGCTCCGTCCCGGACAAGTGTGTTTCGCTGGTATGCCGAATTTAAAAGAGGGCGTGTTCCAGTGGCTGATGAAGAACGTAGAGGTAGGCCATGTTCTAGTGTGACTCCAGATCCAAAATTCTCGCTCCACATATGCGACTATAAAGGCAACTCTTGGGGTAGGATCAGCAACAGTGCACACCATTTTGCATGATCATCTTCATTCAAAAAAAGTTTTTGCAGGAGTACAATCCTGCATCACGACAATGCCTCTAGCCACACTGCCCAACTAACTGTGGACTTTTTACACCAGCACCACATCAAAATGCTAGAACATCCGCTTTATTCGCCAGATTTGGCAATGTGTGACTTCTGGCTCTTCAGGAATTTGAAAAAAAATCTGCCTGGTCGAAAACTTTCGTCCGAAGGGGAAATCGATCAAGCAGTTAATCAGTTTGTTGAAAGCATTTCAAAATCTGAGTGGTTAGAAGCATTTCATTTGTGGAAGGTAGGGTTACAGAAGTGCATTGATGCTGGAGGAGAATACTTTAAATATAAATAAACTAGTTTTCGAAAAATAGTTTTTAGTTTTTGTGTATCTCAAAACATGTGGTGTGGCCCTCGTATAAGCACCTAATACAATTCATCCTCCATAAAACAAAACCAATTTTGATCACAAGTAACTAGCGAATGTGTACGATCGAAAACAGTACGCAACAAATCATGCAGACTGATATAACAAGCTAGAACTTGGAGGAAAAAAAAGGTTGGCATATCAAAGTAGTTATCTCTGAAAACTAACTTGCCCAAAAACCCAAAATCTTGAAAATAACAAAAGTTTCGCAGGCAAAAGTATGACTTAAGAGTAGATTGTCAAGAAACCTAGAAGTAATATTATTTAAAGATGTTAGAGAATATTACTCCAGCACTTCGTGGATTTTTATCACTCCTTAGCTCTCGGAGGAGAAGAATTCTATTCATTGGTGAAGTTGTGTATGGCTATCAGTGTTTTGGTAACGCTGGCCAAGCACAGCCTACCAAACGCCTCTCTTCCAGAGCGGAATATAAATTCAACAACTAAGTAGGTGCGACGTATGGTTTTAGATCTTGCACATGCCAGTCACCTTAAGATTTGCCATTGTCCTCATACGCACAAAAAACACGTCTCGGACCTTCAAATTTTGTTAGCCAATGTGTCAGAGAAATACTTACCTACATCGCACAGAGCCAATGTTCTCATTAAACATAGATCACTAACCGCTTACTGAACATCTCTACGTCTGATGTTATATTGTTGTGCAGACCGCGTATAAGCCTTTTGTAACCTTTCCGACACCATTTTGCGA